GGCATTCTTGATTTTCTGCATTGAATGCAGCTGTCTTCTGCCATGTTGAAGTCAGACCTAAGCGGTGACCAAGGCGATGGATATGAGTAGAATGTAGTGGGGGTGGAAGTGAGCATAACCACCAACCCTAAATTACGCATGAGTAGATATAAAACAGGGTGGTGTATACAAAGGAAAAATAGGTAGATAACCTGCCTTAAAATGCATCAAAAAGGGCACTCAGACTCGTACTGCATGGTCACCTTTCAAATAAAAAGCTAGCCACTTCAGTCGTCTTATGTGATGAGAGAGGGAAAAATCCTCTTCAGTAGAATTACCATCTGTGGATCGGAATGGAGAATCTGCAAATGGTTATACCGGTGCAGTGGCAACGATAAATTCCAGAGGTGTCACAGGTTGCAATTATGATTATGAGAAACAAGGAGAGAACACTAGAAATGACCAACTATGACAGAAGAATAGTGTAAGTTTTGTCCCACAACTATGAAGACAACTTCAATTTGTTTCCTAAAACATATAAAATCAAGCTAAACCCATCATTTCCAGAATGAATTCATTCAGTATTGATAGCTTCAGATTGCATTTTATGCAATCAGGGTGCAGAGTATGAGAATTGCTGTAGAGAGCACACTAAATAGAGCAGTACGTTAGTCTTGACCACAATCACGGTGACACAGAGGTAATCTTCACGTTTGTAGTCTCCAAACACTTGTTGCTCTCACATTAAAGCGCATTGATACGTCTTGAAGGATGGTTAAAAGCACTGCTTTGGTGAGAGCAGTAAGCAAACCCGAGGCAAACAAACAGTTCCGTTTAATTTGTGGGGTGATTAAAGAGTGAATCCACTCAGTACTGATAACTGAGTCTACAGAGTCTCCTTGCAGAAGGCATGTCAACTTTTGACAAGACCTCACTTTGGCATGAGAGAAGGACTAGAGGAGGGCATGACATTCATCCTCTCGATGGCACCTAAAGGTGGCAAATGTTGCCACGAAAAATGACGAGCAGATAGATTGTACTTGCGGTGGAATATTGCCTCGTCGTAAAGTATTTTTCTCAAATAAATCTCCTTCGTCTTACAAGAAGCGCAATAAAAGGGGATGACTGTGAACATTACTACGGCAGTAAATGAATGAAGTGGGAATGAATGGATGGAGGAGTGAATGAATGGGGAGAGTGAGACAAACGAAATAAACTCCACCGTTTTACTCCAATGTTGGTTGAAATAGTTACACCAGGCTTATACACTTTAATGATTCTCTACGGAAAAAGAACGGAAGTCTACTGTGGTGTTGTGATGAAACAGACATGTATATGGGAGTGCAGCATTTCTAGAATGGTAGGAGGAAGGAGGGGAGAAAGAGTGGGGAAAGAGGGAAGATCATGCGTTGCCACTGAAATAATGACATGAAAAGACTGCTTCATCGAAGCAGCCAGTCTGGTGATCGGAAAAGGGAGACATTAACACGCCAACTGAACCATGCATGAAGGGGATGAAGTGTCGACAGTGAGTGTGATGACGCACGAAGGAAGAAATTGGAGTGGTGCGCAGACCGGCGGTGATTTCGGACATTGTAATTTGCAGTTTGTGCAACTACAGTGAAGGGCAGTTACACTTAGCATGTGCCGGTATCATACTTACGTACGCACGTACGCGCGTAGATCGGTGGGTAGGTGAGCTTTATGGATGTCCACTTTTATGTTTGATGTGAGGGTTGTAAAAAGGCAGGGAAAGTGGAGGAAGAGGAGGTGGTGGTGGTGGTGATGGTGGAGGAGGAGGAGGAAGCAGCGGCAGCAACACCTCTCCTCTGCCTTGGAATTTTCGATCTGTCCGTGAGTCAGTCACACATCCACACACAAACACATACACGACCATAAAAACAGTTAATGAGCCTCACTGATTTGGGGCTAAGTGTAGGCGCAGATGTGATGGTGAGGGGGGAGTGTTGTATATTTGATTTGAAGGCAGTTTCTGGTCAAGAAGGGGTTCTGTCAGAGGGCATTCTGAGAGATGAGGAATGCATACTGCAGAGTAGAAGGCACGGAGATCAACAAACCAACCAATCGCTCGATTACTGAATCAATAAATGACCTCCAACCAACAATTCAACAAGTGCTATCATATTTTTAACAAAAGGGCATGTCGGTCCCCCAAAATGCCACTTATTCAGACTAATTCGCGTCTATTTCTGTGAGAAACACTTTCCACTTACTTTTCACGTGAAAGTTGCTTGGAACCACAACTCGTGTGGAATGTGATAGTCAGTAGGTATGCTTGAGGTGGATGCTGTTCCACAATATTGCCATCGAATCCAAGTCAATTCCAAGATATTTTCAAAGTTGTTTGCGATGGCACACCTAATGGACTGCAGGCTCCGAGAAGTTGACTTCGTGTGGTGACCTGCACCAGTAAACATTACCAACAAATGCGACGTCAGTTTGGGCGATACTGAGTAGCAAGCGCATTCCACTCCCCGTGCCGATGATACACTTCGCACATCTTCATGCCACATAGAAACTTCAGCTTTGCATAAGTCATATCCTTTCAACCCAACCAATGTCGATCACACCACAGTGTTTGTCATGACGTCTAACTCAAAACGCCGCAGATGTCGGTCGACCAGTGGATGCTGATTGCCTGGCTCTGCCCTGTTAAGTGTGCACAAAATGGGAGCATCGTGTACCCTGCAAGGTGTGAAGGTGTGCAGCATAACCCGACACATCTCGCTGCCACCGATTTCTAGACACAACTTGACTTTGCTCGTCGAATGGTCTATCTGGACTTTTCTCCATCCCTCGCCTGTTTTGCAAAGAAAAAAGCCGATTTAACAAAGACAATGCTCGGGTAAGCAAAAAACTAACAAACTAGAAAAGGGGCAGTGATATGCGAACTCTTGGGCAACAGAGGTGGTGGAATACAGGAAGGCAACGAGGCCAAGGAATTCGAAGAGGAGGCAGATGTTGAGCAGTGGGAGTGGGAGAGGAGGAGAAGGGGGGAACGGCGATGCTAGGATGTGAATCCCACGTCCAAAGCCATCATAACCACGAAGCCAATGCAGGCGAGGATCGACACCAGACGTCCGTTGCCCCTGAAAGTCAATGAAGCAAAACCTGATCACTATTAGTTAGTCCATTGCAGCTTATTTTAGCTGTACAAGCTCTTCAAGTGAACATCTCATAGAGGAAGTCCGATGGTCGATTTCATTCACCTCGTCTTGATTGCCTCCACTACTTAAAAGTGTTAAACTGCACACAAACTCACTCACGACTTTCGCCTGCCTTAAAACGTGAATTGAGAAGGAGGTGGTAATGTCGAAAGCCGCTACTGCGTCAACACTTCAACACTGAAGCATCGTTGTGAGTAAACTCAACTGACATCAAGTACTTCCTCTACATACACTGGAGCATCAATTTTTCCTTCTTCAGACACATTCGCGCATCTCTTGTGCAAAATGCTCAGCGCATGACAGAAGGCAGTTCAGGAATAGGCACAGCAACAGGCACAGGAACAGGCACAAGGACAGTCGAATTGCCGCACAGAATAGAGGTAGTCAAGAGACATACCCAGGAATAATCAATCACTGCCTACCATTCCGACTTCACTGTTTCTGACGCAATAATACATGAGATGAAGGCCAACGATTCATAAATACACTCACATACAAATGCTGACTAAACATTGCTTTAACTTCGTGCGGACACTACGATATGCGCTACAGCTACCTGGCCCTTTGCTCTGAATGATCGCTACACACACACACACACCCACACACACACACACACACACCAATTAATGGCAAATTCACCAGATGTCAAAAAAGTAAAGATAAACGATGGAAAATGGACCACGGATGGACCTTCAGTGGCAGCACCAATTCGTTACGACAAGCATCGTATTAATTAAAACCGAATTAACTAAAACACAACAAAGCACAATCCCTTCGGGCATAACATCAATGCCTTGTGATGCTGACGACGAAGAAGACATGGTTTTACTCAGGTATCGTGCATCTTTCGTCGCATTTTGCACGCCAAAGCGAGTAGATAGATGACAGACGGATGGCAGACTGGTGTCACTTGAATAGCAGTACTACCAACACTCACACACAAATCTGCGCCTGAAACGTGGAAATGTGGTAGGTGATGGATTATTTCGCCTGCAGACACATGTCTGCCTACTCTTCGATGATATGAATGTCCAGGATTGACGCCCCTTCGACCAGAATGTGCCCACGATACGTTCAACCGAAAGGGTGGCATGACTCCATCGAAATCGCTTGATCCATTCTTGGGCCAAACTGCTTTGCTGTAGCGTGGTCATGGAGTGGTGCAGCTTCCACCTTTGCACATGCCAGGTTGCCGGGATCAGGAGGTGAAGTAGCTCACAATGGGAAACTGAGCAGGCAACAATTTACGGCGAGTAGTGCAAACAGACTCCTCCCACAGTCTACAGCACGTATGCAACTGAAAGTGCTCCTGAGGCATTAGACGCTGTCCCGGTCACTCCGCAGTGGGGCAAAGTAACTGTTGATACGCTTGAGAGTATTTTGTAGCTATTCGTGCCGACTTTCACCCACTTTCCTGGTTGAAGCATCAACTCATTCACCTCTGATTCCATCCGCTTGTACAAATACCGCGACTTAGGCCGTTCTTCACCAGCTGCGATGTAAGTCGGAAGTGGTGGTCAGCATTATAAGCTCAAAGTGTGTCTCTCTTTGTCAAAGGAGACAAAAAAGTAAAACAAATGACGTGATTATATGGGATGAAACCAGGAGAAACGAGATGAAAGGGCAATTTCCGGTGCGCCAGCCATATATTATGCTGCGCAAATGTCTGCCCATTCATTCCACTCGCCATAAACGGTGACATTTTCTGCCAACGGGTCTGCCGTTGGAGGGCCTATACTTAATCATCTATTCAAATGGCTTTCTATGCTGATCAGAGAAAAGACTACCTTTGTCTATAAAGAAAGTGCAACTTCTGACGCCCTGCAAGGCACTAGGTCAGGTGGAGTAGAATAGCCACGAGCTAGCTGTAGAACGTGGGATCCCAATTTCACCATCCCACGTGGTCATGGAAGCACACTTGGCCCTCTTTACACCACCAACTTCACCACAAATGGCCACTTACAAGGGGTGGGCCAACGCTTCCAAGGTGGGTCAGACCCAATCAAACGAGACCGGATCGGATCAGCCTTTGTGTGAAAGAAAAAAGCCGTAGTTCGTTTCGATGTCCCCTACACCGTAAGGGAAGAGGTGGATGATTGCTGCAGCTTTGTTTACATTAAGTGGAAGGTGCACCAGGTGTTTATGCCGGTCACAATAAAAAGCGCCTTTCACTACCATGCCTCACAACCAGGAATGCAGGCACCCTCGTAATAGCATCCTCATTGGCGTCAACATCGAAGCAAAGCACAGCACAGCAAAGCAAGGCATCAGCAATCGTGCCTT